TATGGCCGAGCTCTGTTGCCTTCCTCTGCCTGTATTCTGGGACACCCATGTCTAGTTGGCTCCATACCCCTCCGATAGAAACACCGAGAATAAGTCCCTAACGCCACAATCCTAAACACGGTTACACCTTTCTAAGCACATTGAAGTCCATGGGCTTAGAAGGGTGTAACTCAGCTTAGGACTGCCATGCAAATGGGCAGCAAGATCGTCCTCCCCTCCTGAATCATGGGAGGGCCGCGGTGGCTCAGAGGTTAAGACTCTGAGTTGCAGACTGGAAGGTCGGCAGTTCGAGACCCGAGTGCCGCGTGACGGAGTGAGCTCCCGTCTCTGGCCCCAGCTCCTGCCAGCCTAGCAGTTCAAAAGCAAGAAATTGCAAGTAGATAAATAGGTACCACTTCGGTGGGAAGGTAACAGCGTTCCATGCACCTCGGCGTTTAGTCACGCTGGCCACATGACCACGGAGAAGTCTTCGGACAGCGCCGTCTCTTCGGCTTGGAAACGGAGATGAGCACCGTCCCCTAGAGTCAGATTCAACTCACTTTCGAGCAAGGGAAACCTTTACCTTACTTTACCTTTTACCCGAATCATGACCCGGATAGCAAAAAACTACGGTGGCTTGCAACCTACACCACTCCTCTGCAAGCTTCATGGGTCCCATTCGTCTAAGCCCCTTCCCGCTCGAGCTGCTGCTCAAGCTCATATCCCCTCTAGCCCGAGGACTCGGTGGCATGGAGGACTGATGACTACCTCGAGGGCCAACGCTTACTAGTATCTTGGTGGTGTAGGCACTGTTGACGGCGATGGCATGCACCAGCAGGTCTAGCGTCTTGGGGTTCAGGTTGCTGGGGTCAGGGGTCTCCTTGTAATGAGTGTCGCCCAAGTAGCACTGCACGACAGTCATGCGGTTGGTGGTGAGCGTGCCGGTCTTGTCGGAACAGATGGCCGTGGCATTGCCCATTGTCTCACAGGCGTCCAGGTGGCGAACCAGATTGTTATCCTTCATCATTTTCTGCAGTCAAAGAAGGAGGTTTAAGAGTTTGGGCGTAAGCAACCAGCTATCTCCCTTCGGCCTCAGTCGACGGATACTCTGCTAAGGACACATCGGAAGCCGGGCACGGCTTAAAAGGACTCTGTTGCAAAAACGAGCTTTCTTACAGGTGGACTTTTTCTTTCCAATCTAGTTCTGGCTGCTGGCGTTGAATTAGGGACTGCTAATAGCATACGAGTAAACTTGTTCTGAACAGTTTGCAGTGGCTATACGTTATTTATTTTAATTCGATTTGTATCCCGTCCTCCCCGCAAGCGGGCTCAGGGCACGTTCCATCATAAAATTCACCACACAACAAATCGACATATATATTATGATGTTATTTATGGTTATGGTACTCATTTTGCTGTCACTGTAATATATTTAAGTTCTTCCCTCCCAATATGCCTGAAGGACCGCCTTTCCCCGTATATACCCCAGAGAGCACTACGGTTGGGGTCTCAAAATCGACTGACCCTCCCAGGCCCCAAGGATGCCAGGCTCACTACTACCAGGGCCAGGGCCTTTTCAGTGGCGGCTCCATACTGGTGGAATGAGCTCCCGGAAGAGATCAGGGCCCTGCGGGATCTTTTACAGTTCTGCAGGGCCTGCAAGACGGAGCTCTTCCACCAGGCATTCAATTAAGGAGCCGCCCGCACGACTACCACCAACAAGTGTGGCTTAGATCCTGGCCCTGATTTTGACATTTGGCCTTTGCCACTGTGTGATTTAGGGAGAGCACCGAGAAGGGAAACTGTCTATTTGTATGCATTCTTTGTGCGCCACGTCAAGTAATGTATGAACTACCGCCAGCACTTTAGGATTTTATTGTATCTGTATCATAATTGTATTTGAACTGTTTCAACGTGAATTTAATTGGTACCTATGTACCAGCTAATGTGAGCCGCCCTGAGCCTGCTTGAATAAATAAATAATATATAATAGATCTGAAACCGGACCCATAACCTGCCAATGGACCCCTCCAACCTAAGGAACAAAGAATTAAAAGGAAGGAGGAGATGGCTAAGGAAGACAAGTACATCTTGGGTCAAGATGAATCCTCAAAACTCCCGTCTTGCCTGCTGCCGCAGGAGCTTACTATTTTATCGTGAGCCCCCTCCTGTGCCTCCTTGCCTGGGTGAGAAAACAAACCCGGCCCAACCCAACCGATTCCGATTGTGGCTTCTTATTGACCTATGATCTACTTACCAACCTGAGCTTCAAAAGAGGAAAGAGATAGGAGGAGAGAATGTACGGAGGGCCCTTACGGAAGACGGCAGTCCTTTGGATGCCAATCGACTTTTTGCATGATGTGATCACTAATGGGAAGGGTATCAACCTGTCCTGCCTGCTGGGCACAGAAAATAATCATTCTCACCTTCACGGAGTAGGCTAAGGAGATGGTGACGGCCAACGGAAGGCCTTCGGGTACCGCCACCACCAGGACGGTGACGCCGATGATGAAGAACTTGACAAAATATTGCACGTAGACTGGGGTGCACTCGGCTAACCACGTCTTCCCATCGATCACAAAGGTCTGGATGACGAAGTACAGGACCAGGATGATAACAGTGATGGCTGACATCACCAGACCTATAAGAAGGGGAAGGAGGAGAAGAAGGAGGAGAAGAAGAACAACAAGAAGAAAATAAATCAAAACAAGACTGTGAGCACCCCAGCCACCTTCTGACTGGAATATGACTCAGGGGTCTCCATTCCTACTAGGATCTGATGAAGAGAGCTTTGACCCTCGAAAGGTTATACCCCTAAATCTTGTTGGTCTTTAAGATGCTACTGGACTTGAATCTAGCTGAGATAAGGGTTTAGCAATCTTCATTCCTACTTGTATCTGACGAAGACAGCTTTGACCCTTGAAAGATTATACCCCCAAAATCTTGGAGGTATGGTCTCCATGCTGCTACTGGACTCGAACCTAGCTGAGATAAGGGTTTAGCAATCACCATTCCCACTTGTATCTGACGAAGACAGCTATGACCCTCGAAAGGTTATACCCCCAAAATCATGTTGGTCTTTAAGATGCTACTGGGCTCGAACCTAGCTGATATAAGGGGTTCGCAATCTCCATTCCCACTTGTATCTGACAAAGACAATTCTGACCCTCGAAAGTTTATACCTCCAAAACCTTGTTGGTCTTTAAGATGCTACTGGACTCGAATAGCTGATAAAAGCGTTTAGCAATCTCCGTTCCTACTTGTATTTTTATTTATATATTATTAAATTTATAGCCCTCCCTCCCCGCAAGCGGGCTCAGGGCGGCTCACAGATATGGCAAAGACAGCTTTGACCCTTGAAAGGTTATACCTCCAAAATCTTGTCGGTCTTCAAGATGCTACTGGACTCGAATCTAGCTGATATAAGGGTTTAGCAACCTTCGTTCCTCCTTGTCTACTGGGCTCGAACCTAGCTGATATAAGGGGTTAGCAATCTCCATTCCCACTTGTATCTGACAAAGACAATTCTGACCCTCAAAAGTTTATACCTCCAAAACCTTGTTGGTCTTTAAGATGCTACTGGACTCGAATAGCTGATCTCTACTGTAGACCAGTACAGCTACCCTCTGAACATATCTTCATGGAAGACACCTTCATGGAAGGCAGTTTCAGCCTACTAAAATCGGTGACAACGGGAGTAGTCACTTTCTCTCATCCTCACCTACTACGCAGAATAAAGTCAGAGGAGCAGAATCTATGTATGCTGCTTAGAGCTCCTTCAAAAACCTAAGAAGTCTGGGGCTCTTTAATTTAGGAGAGTCTAAGGAAGGGTGCACTCACTGGAGAAGACCCTGATGCTGGGAAAGATTGAAGGTCAAAGAAGGCAAAGGATGAGATGGTTAGACAGTGTCATCGATGCAACGAACATGAAATTGAGCAAACTTCAGAGGACGGCGGAAGACCGGAAGGCCTGGTGGGAGAACCAACTCCCCTGAAACTGAGAACATGTGATCCTCAGCAGAGAACTACAGAGCTGAGGAACATTCCCCTCCAAAGGAACTCTTCTGCCAAGAGCGGCATTTCCCTCCATCTCAAGGAAGGCTCCACCACTTGTGGAATGACCGAGCAGCCCCATACGCCAGACCTGAAGCCAGAATGTGGGCCTCCACAGTGGGGCCCCTTAGCACATTGCTGCTTCCATCTCACACTGCAAATCAGATTTTCAGTCTTAG